TTTTTCTCTTCTTCTTCATTTCTTCCTTCTTCTTCTTCTTCTTCTCGTCCTTCTTCTTTTTCTCGCCCATCCTCTTCTTCTTCTTCTTCTTCTTCTTGCCCTTCTTCTTCTTCTTCTTGCCCATCTTCTTCTTCTTCTTCTTCTTCTTTTCGTCTTCTTCTTCTTTTCGTCTTCCTTCTTCGTCTTTATTCTTCTTGCCTTCTTCTTCTTTCTCCTTGCCTTCTTATTCTTCTGATGCCCTTCTTCTTCTTCTTCTTTTTCTCGTCCTTCTTTTTCTGTTGAGTTCCTTTTCTTCTTCTTGTTTTTTACTTCAAACACAAAACTTCTTCTTCTTCTCTTCTCTCCTCATTTTCGTCTTTCTTCTTCTTCTTTCTTCTTCTTCTTCTTCTTGTCATTCTTCTTCTTCTTCTTCTTCTCGTTCTTCTTCTTCTTCTCGTTCTTCTTTTTCTTCTTCTTTTTCTTCTTCTTCTTGCCCTTCTTCTTCTTCTCGTCCTTCTTTTTTTTCTTCTTCTTCTTCTCTTCCTTCTTCTTTTTCTCACTTTTCTTCTTCTTCTTGCCCTTCTTCTTCTTTTATCTTCTTCTTCTTCTTGCCCTCCTTCTTCTTCTTCTTCTTCTCGTTCTTTTTCTACTTCTTTTCTCCCATCTTCTTCTTCTTCTTCTTGTCCTTCTTCTCCTTTTTTCTTCTTCCCATCCTTCTTCTTCTTCTTCTTCTTCTTGCCCTTTTTTCTTGCCTTCTTTTCTTCCTTCTTTTTCTGTTGGGTTCCTTTCTTTACGTCTTCTTTCTTCCTTCTTCTTCTTCTTCTTCTTCTTCCTCTTCTTCTTCTTTTTCTTTTCTTCTTCTTTTTCTCCCTTCTTCTTCTTCTTCTTCCTTTTTTTCTTCTTCTTTTTTCCTTCCCTTTTCTTCTTTTCTTCTTCTTTTTTTTTCTTCTTCTTCTTCTTCTCCTTCTTCTTCTTCTTCTTTCGTTCCTTCTTCTTTTCTCCATCTTCTTCTTCTTCTTCTTCTTTCTCTCTTCTTCTTCTTCTTCTTCTTCTTCTTTTCTTCTTCTTCTTTTCTTCTTCTTCTTCCTTCTTCTTCTCTTCTTCTTCTTCTTTCCTTCTTCTTCTTCTTTCTTCTTTTCTTCATCTTCTTCTTTTTTCTTCTTCTTTTCTTCTTCTTTTTTCTTCTTCTTCTTCTTCTTCTCGTCCTTCTTCTTCTTCTTCTTCTTCTTCTTCTTCTTCTTCTTTTTTCGCTCTTTTCTTCTTTTTTGTTCTTCTTCTTCTTCTTCTTCTTCTTCTTTTTTTCCTTTTCTTCTTTTTTTTCTTCTTCTTCTTCTTTTCTTTCCCTTTTCTTTCTTTTTTTTGCTCTTTCTTCTTCTTCTTCTTCTTCTTCTTCTTCTTCTTCTCGTCATTCTTTATCTTCTTCTTCTTCTTCTTCTTCTTCTTCTTCTTGTTTTTGTTCTTCTTCTTCTCCTCCTCCTTCTTCTTCTCCTCCTGCTACTTCTGGTGCTTCTTCTTCTTCTTCTTCTTCTTCTTCTTGCTGTTATTGTTGCTGCTGCTGCTTCTCAATCCCTCTGGCATAAGGCAATATATTCATTTAAGCCTGGCTTATGTGTGACACAAGGCCGAAAGTGCGGGGTACAAAGTGAGGATCGTAGTCACTACTCAGTCTATATCGTTCGAGTGAGATAAGCTGGCTTGGCTATTACACCAGGTCCTGATGCCCTCAGTTCTGATGTTAAGTTACACTTATCAAGTATGTATGTGTTTATATTTTGTTAACATAGATAATATTCTTCTGAATAAATGATCAGATTCATACTGTGCAACATTTTAATTTCTTGTATACGGAGACACTCTCATTCATTTTGATTTAATGTGCCTTTCTTGATTATACTCAGGGCTCCAAATATTATACGTTTTCTTGTAGTTTTAAGGTGTCTCCTTTTTTCAATTTCACTTTCATAATCCTTCTGTTTACGAAATTCTTTAACAGGTGTATTTTCTATCTGACAACACTGTCATATCTATTATGATTATGGCTGAGCAATGAAGTGACTCTGGTGTACAAATATACGAATCCCAATATATCTAACATGGCATTCGTTCAGATCAAGTTATGCCAAGCGTATGAACCAGGACCAAACATTTCCAATATGATGACAGATTTTGTTGAAAGCATTATCACCTTGCAGGTGAGGCTTAGTTGTAAATGCCTTTTCTTGGGTTAACCCTTAGTAACAGGTAACGTTTAGACGGTGAGCTGATTAAGTGTGTTTCCAAGTATTTAGATGTGACTCCCATGTCACCTTGGTTGCCTCAACTTTCAAACAGAGGAAACACCTCTTCCGTGAACAGAGAGGTACAGTTTGTAAACTCCCGGGGAACATTGCTCAACTGGTTATGGTGTGGCAACCTACAGGAAAATCTGTAGTAGTGAAAGACAGATTTAATGTAGCCCATCTTAATTCATTTCGACAAACTGATGACATATTAATACCTTCAGTTAGTTAAGATTAGAAGCCATGCGATGCATGTCTGGAGTAGCGCCAAGTCTTTATTTTTATTTTGTTGTATTTGTTGATGATGATGGCCATGGTGATGATGATGATTTTTGTACCTGTGACAAATAACCCAATTATTTACTTATTGATATACCTTTCTGTTTAGGAACAGATTATCTGTGTCACGGGGCTTAAAGTTTTCCTTCCAGACACTTCCGCCTAGGTGTAATGTACTATATGTGCATGCTATTAGAATCTATCTATCTATCTATCTATCTATATATATATATATATATATATATATATATATATATATGTATACACTATTATTATTTTTTTTTTTATATTTCCTTTGATTTCTGACGTGTATACATTTCTTTCCGGGTCCTGGCCAAAAACCTAAGGTTAGAAATGGCATCTATCATGTCAATTTCCACTGACATATATATATATATATATTCATACATATATATATATATATATATATATATGTGTGTGTGTGTGTGTGTGTGTGTGTGTGTGTGTGTGTGTGTGGATTACATAGATAAAGCCCTTCGTAAAGTATGGGCTGTACTTGTGAGAACAATCTTTTGTATTTCTTTGAGGCATGGGCTTCCAGGAATCCCTTCAGTTAGTCTACTGGAGTCTTTTCCAACCAATCCTAGAGCTCCAACGACAACAGGGATTGCTGGTGTTCTCATGTACCACATATTATTATTATTATTATTATTAGTGTATGTTATGTTACCTGCTTTGTATCCTGTAGAGCCGGGACCAAACTATGGTCCTTAGGCCTTATAGGAGAATTATCATTTAATTGATAGTTTTTTTTCTTAGTATATGGGATGTTCTTGGTAGGGAGATCTTCTGGGCAACTTGTATGATGGTGTTACGTGCTGTGACAATGTTAGTAAAATTATCCATTCATTTTCTCACAAAGCCCAGTGATTACTATTATTATTATTATTATTATTATTAATTTTTATTATTATTATTATCCTTTGATTTCTGTTGTATACACATTTCCTTCCCGATCTAAAGTTAGAAATAGCTTTATTATTATTTTATTTCCTTTGATTTCTGGTGTATACTCATTTCTTTCCCGATCCCAAGGAGGGACCTAAGGTCAGAAATGACATCATGATATTTTTCACTGAGCAGTTTTGAAGAAAAAAAAATCCCACATAATTGACATAGATAAAATCCTTCGTAAGGTGTTGGTTGCACTTATGAGAACATTTTGTTTTTATTTCTTTAAGGCATAGGCTACCAGAAATCCTTTCAATGAGTCTACTGGAAACTTTTCCAATCAATCCGCGGGATCCTACCACGACTTGAATTTCTGATGTCCTTATGTGCCATAATTTTGAGATTTCCATTTCAAGATCCTTGTATTTTGATAGCTTTTTGAAGATATTCAATTATAGAACCTCACGCAGAATCTTTACTAAATTGGCCGAAGTGGAACAATTTTAAAATTTTCTATTTTCATAGCATTTGGAATGGTTCCTTCTTTATTTACCATTTCTGTATTCCGCTGAAAATTTCTTCACTACATTTCCTTTTCTAACATCGTCAGTTTTCATTCATTATTAATAGTTTAAAAATTAATATACTGCTAATGATATTCTAAGATATTGATCATATTAGTACATAGATAGATAGATAGATAGATAGATAGAAATGAACTAAGCAAGATAGATACATACATACATATGAATGAGATATATACATACATACAGGCAGACATATATACATACGTACATATGAATAGGAATGCGACAGATAGATAGATAGATAGATAGATAGATAGATAGATAGATAGATAGATAGATTGAAATCAACTGAGCAAGATACTGACATACATATAAATAGGAATGATATATATATATATATATAGATAGATAGATAGATAGATAGATAGATAGATAGATAGATAGATAGATAGATGCAGACATGCATACGTACATATGAATAGGAATGAGATAGATAGATAGATAGATAGATAGATAGATAGATAGATAGATAGATAGATAGATAGATAGCCTACAAACCGGGGTATTAAATTACAAAGATTAAAATATAATAAAATATGAAAATCTTTTTATGCAGACAATTGAGATAGATAAAAATAGAATGCAGGAAGAATATTAATAGCAATGATTAGAACAATAGAAATATTATTATTTCACACAGGCTGAGATTAGGATATTAAAAATAAGATGGGGAAAAAAAGAAAGAAATAACGAAAGGAAAAAGAGAGAAAGTGGCAATTGACTTAGTTGAAAAGAAAGAAATAAAACGACAACTGACGTATTTGAAAACAAAGAAAGAAAGAAAAAAGAAAGAAAGTAAACAGCAAGTGATTGAGTTGAAAAGAAAGAGAGAATGAAAAATAGAAAACAATGATTGACTTTGTTGAAAAGAAAGAAAGAAAACAAACATTAACTTAGTTGAAAAGAATAAAAAAAAGACAATAATCATTGACTTAGATGAAAGAAAGTAAGAAGACAACGATGACTAAGATGAAAAGAAAGAAAGAAAGAAAGAAGAAAACAACCACTGACTACGATGAAAAGAAGAAAGAAAGAAATATAAGAACCACTGACTTAGATGAATTGAAAGAAAGAAAGAAAACAACAACAACCATTGACTTAGATGAAAAGAAAGAAAGAAAGAAAGAAAGAAGAAAACAGCCACTGACTTAGATGAAAAGAAAGAAAGAAAGAAAGATAGCAACCATTGACTTAGATGAAAAGAAAGAAAGAAAGAAGAAAACGACCACTGACTTAGATGAAAAGAAAGAAAGAAAGAAAGAAAGATAGCAACCATTGACTTAGATGAAAAGAAAGAAAGAAAGAAGAAAACGACCACTGACTTAGATGAAAAGAAAGAAAGATAGCAACCATTGACTTAGATGAAAAGAAAGAAAGAAAGATAGCAACCATTGACTTAGATGAAAAGAAAGAAAGAAAGAAGAAAATAACCACTGACTTAGATGAAAAGAAAGAAAGATAGCAACCATTGACTTAGATGAAAAGAAAGAAAGAAAGAAGAAAACGACCACTGACTTAGATGAAAAGAAAGAAAGATAGCAACCATTGACTTAGATGAAAAGAAAGAAAGAAAGAAGAAAACGACCACTGACTTAGATGAAAAGAAAGAAAGAAAGATAGCAACCATTGACTTAGATGAAAAGAAAGAAAGAAAGAAAGAAGAAAACGACCACTGACTTAGATGAAAAGAAAGAAAGATAGCAACCATTGACTTAGATGAAAAGAAAGAAAGAAAGAAAGAAGAAAACAACCACTGACTTAGATGAAAAGAAAGAAAGATAGCAACCATTGACTTAGATGAAATGAAAGAAAGAAAGAAAGAAGAAAACGACCACTGACTTAGATGAAAAAAGAAAGATAGCAACCATTGACTTAGATGAAAAAAGAAAGAAAGAAGAAAACGACCACTGACTTAGATGAAAAGAAAGAAAGAAAGATAGCAACCATTGACTTAGATGAAAAGAAAGAAAGAAAGAAAGAAGAAAACGACCACTGACTTAGATGAAAAGAAAGAAAGAAAGATAGCAACCAACTTAGATGAAAAGAAAGAAAGAAAGAAGAAAACCACTGACTTAGATGAAAAGAAAAAAGATAGCAACCATTGACTTAGATGAAAAGAAAGAAAGAAAGAAGAAAACAACCACTGACTTAGATGAAAAGAAAGAAAGAAAGATAGCAACCATTGACTTAGATGAAAAGAAAGAAAGAAAGAAGAAAACGACCACTGACTTAGATGAAAAGAAAGAAAGATAGCAACCATTGACTTAGATGAAAAGAAAGAAAGAAAGAAGAAAACAACCACTGACTTAGATGAAAAGAAAGAAAGAAAGATAGTAACCATTGACTTAGATGAAAAGAAAGAAAGAAGAAAACAACCACTGACTTAGATGAAAAGAAAGAAAGAAAACAACAACCATTGACTAAGATGAAAAGAAAGTAACAGAAAAGGTTTGACTTATTTGAAACGAAAGAAAACTACAATTGACATAGTAGAAATGAAAGAAAAAAGCAACAACCATTGACTTATATTAAAGGAAAGAAAGAAAGAAAACTACCACTGAATTAGCTGAAAACAACGGAAGAAAAATCTAATTGAAAGGAAAGAAAATAACTAGTGACGTTGTTGAAAAGAAAGAACGAAAGAAAGAAAGAAAAATAGGCCTTGAATTATTTGAAAAGGAAGAAAGACAGAAAACAACAAATAACATATTTGAAAAGAAAGAAAAAATGGAAGAAAATAAGCAACCATTGATTTAATTTGAAATAAATAAATAAAGCAAGCATTGCCTTATTAGATAAGAATGAAAATAACCACTGACTTAGAAGAAAAGAAAGGATGAATGAAAGAAAAAAAAATCTATTGACCTCGTTGAAAAGAAAGAAAGAAAACAATTATTGACTTTGTTGTAAAGAAGAAAGAAAAGGACCATTGGCTTAGTTGAAAAAATAATGAAAAACAGCCTCTGATGTAGTTGAAAAGAAAGAAAGAAAGAAAGAAAGAAAGAAAGAAAGAAAAAAAGAAAGAAAGAAAGAAAGAAAATAACCATTGACTTAATTGAAAAGAAAGTAAGAAAAGGACCATTGGCTTAGTTGAAAAAATAATGAAAAACAGAGAACACCCTCTGACGTAGTTGAAAAGAAAGAAAGAAAGAAAGAAAGAAAGAAAGAAAGAATAGAAAATCGAACGAAATAAAAAAAAAAGCTAGGGAAATGATCTGGACAAAGAACAACAAACAAAATGGAGAAGGGAAAAATAACTTGATAAACCACAGACCGATTGAATGAATAAATGAATCTCTGAAACAAAAAGCACAAAAGAAAGGAAAAAAATATATATATACAAAAAAAAACAAAAAAAAACAATTATGTGAAATATAAATAAAAATGTAAAATATCTGATAATAAATGAAAAAAAAAAATGACCAAGAGAAAGAAATAATCCAATTTTGATATTATCGAATAATTTGAGTGGGAATCCCCTTTCTGATGTGTATCGATCTGTACATTTTTCAATTGTCATGCCTCAGGGTTCTTTCTCTGCTCTCTGTTAAGGCAGGCGTATAAGCAGACAGGGTGGAGGTTAATGTTTATAATGTGCCTTCGTCTATGAAGCTCATCCTGTGGTGAATAGAGATCCGAAATAAATGCCTGAGGCCCCTTTCCAAAAACCAATTTTCCAAGGGTCAACTCTATAAAAAGAGATAATCATAACCTCCCACCACGATACAGTTACCCGTACTCTTGGACTTTTTTCTTATGAAGACGATCTAGTGAGAAAAGAGAGAACCTCTTATTTCATTTGTTCTTAGGTTTTGTTTGTTGGCCTATGTTTGCCAATCATAACAATTATTGCATTGATGAGAAGACGCTTGAATTGCTTTCTTCATCCGATTTACTGTTTAGGTTTTCGTCTTCTTGTTTTTCTTCTTCTCCTTTCTTCTTCTTCTTCTTCTTCTTCTAATTATTATTATTATTATTATTATTATTATTATTATTATTCCATTTCCTTTGATTTCTGTTGTATACACATTTCCTTCCGGGTCTCAACCAGAGATCTAAGTATATAATGGCTTTATTGTAAAAAAAAAAATACAACCCTACGATCACACAAATTATACAAAGAATAACCTCTTCGCAATGTGTGAGCTGTACGTGTGACTATAATTTTTGTATCTCATAAAGTATAGATTGCAAAGAATCCATTCAATGAGCCTTTCAGAAACTTTTCCCAATCAACCCGAGCGCTCTAACCACAACTCGGGTTATTGATGTGCTGAAGTGCCACGTTTTAGATTTCCACTTGAAGATCCTTGTATTTTGATAGCTTTTTTGAAGATATCCAAAGATACATTACAATATGCAGGATCTGCGGTGTCAATAAGAAAGCACATTCTGTTTTTGTGGTTTTTTATCTCGATGTCTGGGCGATTAGCTTTCATTCTTTTATCTGAGTGTATCATAAAGTCCCATAAAATTTTTACAGGTCTTATCACCGTAACCGGGTCTGGGTGGTATCAGTTTCTTGCAGTTTCCTTCTCGTAAAAGTTGCAGATTTTCCAGTGCCGAGTTTAATATTCAGTGGATGCTAACATAGTACCACGTTATACAAGTTTATTTTTATTATTATTATTATTATTATTATTATTATTATTATTGTTGTTGTTGTTGTTGTTGTTGTTGTATCGTATGCAAATTAGATAGACAAGTATAAATAGAGAACAACTGGCGAATATAGGGTGGCTATGCTTAGCAAACCCGCTTGATATTCAGGACACGGGGAACTGTACTATGACTACTACGCAGAGAATTATGCAAAACATGCCAATTATTATTATTATTGGTGTTGTTGTATCGTATGCAAATTAGATAGACAAGTATAAATAGAGAACAACTGGAGAAAATAGTGCGGCTATTTTGCCGTATCTCGAAGTCTCTAGTCTTGGACTTGTGGAACCAACCCGTACTATATAAAGCCAAAGCAAAACACAACAAAAACTATAATATTCTGCTTTATACACATTTCATTCGGCGTCCCAACCAGAGACCAAATGACGGAAATGGCTTCGTGACACTTTCCAATGATAAAAAAATAAGATCACACAAATTTTATATATATAAAGCTCTTGGTAATATTTGAGCTGTACTTGTAAGTATAATTTTTTGTCTTTCTTTAAGACTACCAGGAATCCCTTCATTGAGTTTATTGGTACCTTTTCCAATCAATCGGCGGGTTTCAACTACAACTGAAATTATTGATGTCCTCATGTGCTAATTTTTTTTAGATTTATACTTCAAGATCACTGTATTTTTATAGTTTTTTGAAGATCTTCAAATGCATTACAATCTGCTGGAACTGCGATGAAATAAGAAAGCACATTCTGTTTTTCTGGTCTTTGATCTCGATGTCTGTATTATAAAGTCCCATAAAATTTTTACAGGTCTTATCACCGTAACCGGGTCTGGGTGGTATCAGTTTCTTGCAGTTTCCTTCTTGTAAAAGTTGCATATTTTCCAGTGCCGAGTTTAATATTCAGTGGATGCTAACATAGTGTCACATTATACAAGTTCATTATTATTATTATTGTTTTTATTTCCTTTGATTTCTGGCGTGTACGCATTTCTTTCCGGGTCCCGCCCAGAGACCTAAGGTTAGACATGACATCATGACACTCTCCACTGACAAAAAAAAAAAAAAAAATTACATAGATAAAGCCCTTCGTAAAGTGTGGGCTGTACTTGTGAAAACATTTTTTGTATTTCCTTGAGGCATGGACTTCCAGGAATCCCTTCAATTAGTCTACTGGAAACTTTTCCAACCAAATCTGAGGGTCCAACTACAACAGGGATTGTTGATGTTCCCATGTGCCACATTTTTGAGATTTCGATTTCAAAGTTCTTGTTTTTTGACAGCTTTTTGAAAATAAATTTAAAATAGGGACTGCCATATCAATTAGGAGGCACTTTTTTTTGTTTGTGGTCATTAATAACAATGTCTGGGCGGTTGGCTTTGATTGTTCTGTCAGTGTGTATTGTATTGTCCCATAGAATTGTAACAGGTCCTATTTCCGTAACCGGGTCTGGGTGGTGTTCATACCAGTTTCTTTCAGTTTCCTTCCCGTAGAAGTTGCAAATTTTCCAGTGCAGATATTGGCCCACTCTGTCATGCCGGGTTTTATACTCAGTGGATGCCAATATCGTGCAACCTGATACAAGATGATCAATCGTTTCTGGATATTTATCACAGATTATTACTATTATTATTATTATTATTATTATCTGAGAGTTTCATTGTCTCACTAGTTATTTTAGTCGAGTGAAAATGGTCATATCTCAGCTTCTACCTGCATTTTAGAGACGCAAAACCTTCATCAGCTCACGTTTTATTCCAAACAGTCATCAAATAAACATCGGCGCACTACTGCTAGTATTTCTATCCGCTGACAGATTTGTCAATATGGACGATTTCGTCGATTTTACTGTTAATCAGAAGAAAAAAAATCATAACGATTAATTTAATTCGGGTTGAAATAGAGAAAAATATTTTGCTTATTGGAAATATTAAATTTAATCAGTTGGCTTTGAATTCAAACAAAAATAAATCAAATTAAAACTACAATAAAAGCTCCAAGAAAGAGTTTTCATTTTTTTTAAAGCATTTCAAAGCTTAAGTATTGCTTTTTATTAGGTCCTGCCCTCTGTCTCTCGATGTTTCTTTCACTCTCTCTCTCTCTCTCTCTCTCTATATATATATATATATATATATATATATATATATATGTGTGTGTGTGTGTGTATGTGTTTGTTTATGTGTGTGTAGCATATGATAAAACTAAAGGAAAGCATTAAAATCAGAAAAGTCAAAATTGGCACATTTTACTGACATATTATTATCATAATTATTTTCATTAATATTATTTTCTTCTATGAATATCACTTTTTCTTCTTATTCTCCTACTACTACTACTACTACTACTACTACTACTACCTCTTCTCCTAATTCTGCTTCTTCTAATTTTGCTTCTTTTTCACTACCTATTCTTCTTCTTTTTCACTACCTATTCTTCTTCTTTTTCTACCCCTTCTTCTTTTTTTACTACCTATTCTTCTTCTTCTTTTTTTTTACCTCTTCTTCTTCTTTTTTACTACCTATTCTTTTTTTTTTTACCTCTTCTTCTTCTTCTTCTTTTTACCTATTCTTCTTCTTCTTCTTCTTTTTTACTACCTCTTCTTCTTCTTCTTTTTTACTACCTCTTCTTCTTCTTTTTTACTACCTCTTCTTCTTCTTCTTTTTTACTACCTCTTCTTCTTCTTCTTTTTCACTACCTCTTCTTCTTCTTTTTACACTACCTTCTTCTTCTTCTTTTTACTACCTTCTTCTTCTTCTTTTTTCTACCTCTTCTTCTTCTTCTACCTATTCTTCTTCTTTTTACCTCTTCTTCTTCTTCTTTTTTACTACCTCTTCTTCTTCTTTTTTACTACCTCTTCTTCTTCTTCTTTTTTACTACCTCTTCTTCTTCTTCTTTTTTTACTACCTCTTCTTCTTCTTTTACACTACCCCTTCTTCTTCTTTTTACTACCTCTTCTTCTTCTTTTTTACTACCTCTTCTTCTTCTTCTTTTTTACTACCTCTTCTTCTTCTTCTTTTTCACTACCTCTTCTTCTTCTTTTTTACTACCTCTTCTTCTTCTTCTTTTTTACTACCTCTTCTTCTTCTTCTTTTTCACTACCTATTCTTCTTCTTTTACAGTACCCCTTCTTCTTCTTTTTACTACCTCTTCTTCTTCTTTTTTACTACCTCTTCTTCTTCTTCTTTTTTACTACCTCTTCTTCTTCTTCTTTTTTACTACCTCTTCTTCTTCTTCTTTTTCACTACCTATTCTTCTTCTTTTACACTACCCCTTCTTCTTCTTTTTACTACCTCTTCTTCTTCTTTTTTACTACCTCTTCTTCTTCTTCTTTTTTACTACCTCTTCTTCTTTTTTACTACCTCTTCTTCTTCTTCTTTTTTACTACCTCTTCTTCTTCTTTTTCACTACCTCTTCTTCTTCTTTTTTACTACCTCTTCTTCTTCTTCTTCTTCTTCTTCTAATTCTGCTTCTTCTTTTACTTATCCTTTTGCTTCTTTTTCTATTTCTTCTTCTACTACTGCTTCTACTTCTTTTACTAATTCTGCTTTTTCTACTTTTACTACTACTACTTCTGCTTCTTCTTTTTCTTTTTTTTCTACTAATAATTCTTCTACTTCTGCTTCTTTTTCTCCTACTACTACTACTTCTACTTTTCTTCTTTTTTTCTTCTTCTTCTTGTTCTTCTTCTTCTTCATATTATTTTTATTTGTTCTCCTCTCTTTGTCACACTTTAATCTATTACGTTTCCACTTCTTCAATGTCTTTGCCGCTTTTTCTTCTTACAAATGGTCACGTGGGAATATATATTTAAGACGTGATTATGCAATGCATTCTCGGCTTTATTTTTAATTCTTCACGTTTGCATCATTCATATCTTAATAGGAAGAAATAAAAACGAAAGATTGGGTCACGAAAAGTATTCTCTTCGTCATGCATTTTATAAAGGCCTTCATTCCCACCACCACCTAATTGACGCCATATTGAAATCATTGAAAACTGATAGCTTTTTTATTGGAAATGTTGGTTGAGGTGGGAGAGATTTACGGTTCAATATACAAATCCGAGTCAAGATTGTTGGATTTCTTACTCGGATATTCTGCATGCGAAAATATTTCAAGGTATTAAAAACTCAAGATTTCACGGCGTATATATAAAAACTTTTAGAGGAGGCACGGTGGAGTAATGGATAGCAGTGTAATGGTTAATAAGCTTGTCTCGCTAGAAGAATTACGACAGAGTAATGAGTTCGATCCTCACTAGGTGCCCCATACTTTCGGCCTTGTGCTACATCTAAGCTACGCTTAGAAAATCACTTGGGAACGGTGCTCCAAATTGTTCATTACTGTCAAACTCTCGGCCTTGAGGTGAGAGGAACCCGGCTGAAGCTTTGCCGAAGGTCAAGGTTTCGTCCGGGGAGGTGAACGGGCTCTGAGCCTGTTTATGCGGGTTCGAAGAAAATATTTTGGGCCGAGCCTACGGGCTCGGAGAACCCACGGTAAACTTGGCCTTTTGCCACATACGACCCATGGGGTGGGGGCGTTAAATATAATGGATAGCAGCTCGGATTGAGGAATCAGAGAGCCGAGTTCGAATTCCAGACGAACCCATTACATTCACAAGTGCAAATGCCCTTGGGGAAAGGTGTGGATCCTTTTCTCCCCACCCCAATCTATGGGTAAATAGCAGAACAGACCGGCCTTTGATGGCAACCGCTGAAATAAATGGCCACCTATCTCGTCGGTCATGAAGTAGAAAGATACATGATCGCCTAAGTATGTATCACGCATGGCACATAACTGAATGAATAATAGAACTACAAACCAGTCACAATTTTTACAGCAGCAAACTACACGATATCTCCTTCTCACATATTAAGTTTGGTTTTTTAATTTCTGCAAGTTTCGCCAATATACAGTGTGTCCATAGAGTTCGTGTGTACTTTAAAAAATTTATAACTTCATTTGTATTTGCGATAGAAATAATCTGTAAAAAAATGTTATAAAGTTTAATGCACCGAGTTTTAAGTATAGCTAAAATAACTAATATGATTTCAGGCATTAGTGTAAATCAGTTGTCAAATGTTTTCCGTGAACTGCAAAATCGTTTCTCAGTGTCTATCACACCTACTCCGTTTTCTCTCTCTTTCATCGGCCAGAGACAGAGAGAGACAGAGAAACAAACAGAGAGATTCTCTGTCTCAAAGTCTTTCTTGCATAATCTCTGCTTCTTCTCTCCCATTCACCTGCTTTCTTTTCATCTACCACTCACTCACTCACTCACTCTCTTTCTTCTCTTTCACTTGCTCTATCTCTGTTACACCCATTCTCATAAAATCACCGACCCCTGTCTTCCTTCTTAAAGTCCCTCTTTTGTCTCCATACAATCACTGTCTCTGTCTCTGTCTCTGTCTCTCTCTCTCTCTCTATGTCTCTCTCTCACACACACAGACACCCACACACATAAATATATATATACATATGGTGGAGTAATGGATAGCGGCTTGGATTGAGGAATCGGAAAGCCGAGTTCGAATTCCAATCGAATCCATTACATTCACTTACGTGCTAATATCCTTGGGAAAGGTGTGAATCTTCTTCTTCTCCCTCCAGCTATGGGTAAATAGCAGGACAGACTGGGTTCTATAGCCTTGGATGGCAACTGGTCTAGGAGAAGGACAACTCTGAATTCAAAACCTGCGGAGGGGACCCTGTGGCACGTAGTGAACCAAGTCTCTGTATTCGGCCATTCAAAAAGTGCAGGAAACCTTCCCCATTATAATCAAATCTCATGTGCTGGCGTCGGGCTGTCAGTTTCATAGGAACTGGTCTGCTTGACCTTCATACCTCGAATTCGACGGGAGAGTATATATATATATATATATATAAATACAGGTGAGCCATGCGTAAATTGTCGCAATTTTATAATTTTAATTTCATTCATGTGCGTGTTTTTGTTTATTTGGTCGACTGCACAGTATAGTAAAGTCAGTTGGGCACCGTCCGTGAGAAAAAGAGCACAATTACACAATGCACTCCGCCATAAATTTAGAAACGGCTTGCTCTATTGCTTGGCATTCGTACCGGAAGCTCCAATAGAAACATTTCAGAGTGTTTGGGTGTCAATCTGATCACAGTGCAGAGGATTCGGAAAGATTTAGATGAGTCTAATGGTTATGACGATGGTATGGCAGCTCAGAAAACTCGCTCTGATCGCTCTGATAAAAAAATAAACCCAGAATTTGTTGATTAGGGCCTCAGATTCAACACAGAAACCAAGGATAACGCTACCATGGGTCAAGAGGGTATCTGGTGGAAGACTCTATGTCTGGCAACAAGA